TCATGTGATCATCGTGTTGTGTAGATATATTCAAAAGGATGTATGTTGGGCTGCATTCAGAGTATTCGATAGAGATGGCAACGGGAAGATATCTCGAGAAGAGTTGCAAGATGTGTTGGGGAATGATGATGTTAGGACCGCTCTGGGCTCTGATCTGGTCACACAAATGATTAATGAGGTTGATCTCAATGGTGATGGTGAAATTGATTTCGACGAGTTCATGCAGATGATGCAGAAGTCAACATGATGAGCTACCTCTCCTCCCTTACATTCCTTGATCTGCTGTCTCTTCCATCATTTCTGTCATGATTTACTTCTGATTTAGTCGCCTCGTCATCTTATTGCTGCTATTTGTAATCAATCAGCCATTGTGCCATTCCGAAATTGGCGTGTTATCAGTGAAGTCTATGGGCGGTTTCCTAGAGGTATTCTCCTCAATTCACCTCGACCGTTTATCAACTATCTCTACTGTATGAACGAGTTTCTGACCACCGTTGAATACCTGTCATCTTGTGCTCATCGGTTAAGTTGTGCCTCCTCACGGTTCCAATGTTTGGGGTGTTGTGTTGTTTTAACGCAGTGCCGCTTTAATAAAGCGTGGAGTACGTGAATCTTTTGAATTGTATCCGCCGCAATCTTATTGTGTGATAGGAACAGATTCCATCATGCCAATTGAGTAGTCGAATGCGCAACAAACGATTGGTGAGGGAACATCATTGGTAATTCATAATTCCATCTATCACCACTATTGAGTTTCCACCTTGGCATTCTAAATACGTCACGATAACCGTGAATGCGTCTAGGATGTAAGATGGTACGTGATGATATCGTCCATGCTTCGGAATCTTCATGAACGCCCATTCGTTTAGGACTCAATGCTCGTTATATTAGAACGGTATACATGTTCGTCAACATCACCCAAGCTAGGTTGCGAAACCACTATTGTTTTGCTACTGAACTTGACGTACTCAAGCCGCCCGAAGGAGTCGTGGGTCGAAACTATTATATAGTCAACTGCTCACTATGGGATTAATGGGATTATATCAGCATCAATGCTCAAGGATTCGATGCACTCTAATTCATTCAAAGATTGCTTCAGATGGTGATGCATGACAAGGATTTTATCATCAAATGACCCACTACATATAGTAGTGGTCAGGGCAAGGATGATACCGTTTATCATCATAAGCAACAACATTAAGAGTAATTCAGACCTTAGAAATTATCCTCAATAGACTTCAGATGCATGTCTAAGTATAATTGAGAGTGTCATCATTATTATCACTGAATAAGTCGGCAACGTCATAAGCTACGACGTGATCGATTAGCTAAGCGTATGCGAAACTGACACTAAAAGCGGAGCGATGCGCCTCAAGATACCATTTTATCTGACTAGCCTCACCTTAAGCTTGCACTTGTCGAGGCATGTGTAACTGAAGCCATATCATGGTGGGTAGGTATTATCCCAGAAGTAAACATTGCTTAGTTATCGTCTTCGTAATACTAATATGTCGTCCTCCTCCTCTACTACTACTGCTCCCTCCGTGGAATTACCTCGTACCAAGCTTCATGCATCCCTTCACCATCCTGCATGCCGGGAATGGCTCGAGCCCCATATTCATCCATCTCAGCTTATCTGGCCTGTTTTCGTCACACTGAGGGTTGAAGATAAAGAGATACCAGGTTTTAGGTAATGCATTTGGATTCTGCATGTCGCTCATTATCGACCGTAGTGAAGTATTAGTGATATTCACAGTGATGTATAATAGTTTTAGTAGTAGCGGAGATTCTAGTAATAGTATTTGTCTTCAGTCCTAACATGCAGTATGGTCGTGGTGCTGATGGTAGCTACCCTGGCCTTATTGATGAGCTCAGAGTGCTAGAGAAGAAGGGTTTGAGACATGTCATGTAATATACAAACAACCCAACACCCTGCTACGCAATGTTTCTATAGGCTCTTTGGCGTGGTAGAGGATAAGGATCCTCGGGCCAGTATGGCTGATGCTGATACATGCCCAGTTGTCGAGTGCATTAAAGTCATCAAGTAGTGCTCCCTTTACAAGAATGGTTGCCCAGTGGTAGAGGTATCTTTTGTTAGATCACACCGTGAACTATCGAGTATGTGTGTCCTTGCTGATGTATGCATGTGTGAATATACTTCCCATGGACACTGTGGTATCCTCAGGACAGTGAATGGAGAGGAATGTAATGCAGCAGTCATCAGCTCTTTATCTTCATGCCACCACATAGGTATCGACAATAAGCGAACGGTTTGCCGTCTTGCGGACATTGCCTTGAAGTATGCTGTAGCTGGTGCTGATATTGTGTGCCCATCGGATATGATGGATTCCCGTGTGGCGACGATTCGGGATAGCCTCGATTCTCATGGCTACGAGCATGTGCAGATCATGTCGTATACCAGCAAGAAGGCCAGTGTCATGTAAGTGCGAGTTCACCCGACATGGTGTTCCTCTTAGTACAGTCGTTCGGCAGGTACGCTCCTTTCCGGGATGCCGTTGACTCGACCTTCAAGGGTGACCGTAAACGCTATCAGCATCCAGTAGGATCGTCCTCTATCGCAATGCGAGCCCTTGACCGAGACTTGACCGAGGGTAGTATAATACGTTCTAGCTCTGACCGTCGAGTAGTTGTCATGATAATGATGATCAGGTGCTGATTTGGCTATCGTCAAACCATGCCTGTTTTATGGGGACATCATTCGTCAGTTTAAGGAGTCCTGCAACATACCTATTGTTGCTTATGTAGTCAGTGGCGAGTAAGACCTTCACTTGAACCTCTGCCCTTCCAGTGTGCTGAATTGTAGGTATAAGATGCTTTACGACTACGGTCAGGCTACGGGTGACATGAATGCAGTTGTGCGGGAGGCCCATATTTCTCTGGTCCGAGCTGGCGCTACTGTAAGTTTAGTCGGCACAGCTTTCTCGTTGCCATTCATATTTCTAGGTATTGATCACTTATTTTGCGCCCTTCATTTTGGATAATCTCAACCGATGGTGATCATCTCTGAAGAGATTAAGAAGCACATCGACGTCATAATACGGCAAGAGTCTTGCTGTTAGGCGTATATATAAGCATTGCTTCCTATGCCGTCTGAGACGGCTCAATATGCTTGCTACTTACTGTCACATACAAGTTTCTACGAATCTTCGACCTTAGTAGAAGTGTTAGCATTCTCCAGCTGGATAGTTGCATTTTCTTGTGTTTCTATAGTAAATATAGGGGAAAGATAATATGTTCGCATGTACCCTCCTAACGTGGTGAGGGAATGTGCCTGGGTATGCGCTGCCAGCAGCACTACCGTGAGCTAGGTTGATGACATAGCTGCAACACATCTTTAATTTTCCTATGATACTCCCTTTTTGTCTCGCACACATCATGGCCGCCATGGCACGGCCTGCTCCACATCAGCATGTCTGGCGCTGTACTGGAGTTCTATCTATTCGGCAATTGGGTGCATTTAGCGAGCCACTTAGCTTATACAAGAGATGCGTGGGTGCCCTCCAGATGACGTGAGGCAGCCCCCTCCAGATGACGTGAGGCAGCCCCCTCCACACGACGTGAGGCAGCCCCCTCCAGATGACGTGAGGCAGCCCCCTCCACACGACGTGAGGTCATCCCGG